CAAGTTTGGTGAGGTTTACACTGGCCGTGAAACCAGTCCTCCACATATTATTCGCCGTTAAAATCAAAGCCAAACAGCGACACGCACTTCGCACTTCAACGTGAAGCACCATCGTAAAATTTTAATTTTGTAACATATGTAAGTCCCAAACTGAGAAGGTACCAACATTTTTCTGCTGAGACTTCACATGTTCGTGTGTGAAGCACAGGCTCACTTGGGAGCCAGATATAAAAGTACAATTTGCAGATTTACACAAGTAGAATACATCGTTCTGGAATTTCGACTTCGCAGATTTGCTGGCTTCTAAGTAAATGATTCCAAGCCAAATTTTCACTTGCCCGTATGCGAGACCTAAGCGTACGTGTGAGATGAGATCAAATTTCCGGAGCTGTACAAAGGTAAGAAATATCTCGCTAAAATTCAGCCTCTTAGCTTCTCAAGTTTCTGAGTTGAAAACTCCAGATAAAAATTCGAACACACTCACATATATGAGACCCCGACAATATAAGTTCCGTACCACTGTTGCAGCGAAAAAGCAGTTCGATGATGACAAATGTGGGATGACGTTTCATAGCTTGTTTGATGTGATGAGGTAGGAGCAGAACGGAGGAAGAAGCGACAGGTGAAAGAAGAGAAATGCAGAAGAAACTTTCGTAAAGACCAATGCATAGGTAAAGAAGCGGGAAGCCCAGGTAGAAGAGCCTATGCCTTTTCTCGCTTTTGTCGAGGTCAAAATAGCGTACAGATGATGAAAAACTGCACAAAGCGAGACTGCAGGGTGCGGAACCAGAAATGCTAGCAAAATTTAAACAAACGCAAAATTTGGCGAGAATGGATGGATAACTTTTAAATTGAAAAAAGCAAAACAGAGTTCGAAAATAAGCAAATTTTGCGCTAAAGCGCTGAGTGATGAAGGACACACAAAAAGAGGAACCCTGGTCTTGTAAGGAGCGTCAAAATGCACATCGGCAAGGCATTTCGTCGTGAACTCGAAGTGTGGGACCAAGCACAGATACTTCGAAGCAATTATCTTTGACTGGAAAAGTTCCCAGCTGTACAGATGGAGAATTATGCTATGCACTAACAGCCGTCTCACGTTCAGTAGGTGTACAGATTTGACATGCCCAATTTTTGCATCTTTTTAGTTAAGCCTATCAGTTTACTAAGTTAACTTATCAATTTACTATTTAACGCAATTCAGCACATTTAGCCAATTTCTGCATGGTATTTGAATTTCCATACCCTCCTCGCCAATTCTGTGTTCCACCGTCTGAACTACGCATTTGTTGGCTACCCTTCGCACAATTTTCGCTAAATTTCAGGACTCTCGTCCCAATTTTTACGCATTTTGTGCTGCAACAGTTGCAAAAGTCACATACTGTCAAGACCTTATCTGCGTGTGTTCCGAATGCACTTTATCCGGGGGTTTGAACTCGGGAACCAGAGAAGCTGGAATTTTAGTAGAAAATTCCCCGCTCAAGTGTGACTCCGCAAACTTGAATTCAGCCCTTGGGTACTCCCGGGTACCACATACGATCCCGCGAAAATTTTGGCGAGGAGAATTGTTATCTCGGGAACACGAAAGCTGGGACGGTAAAGTGTTAAAGTAATATCCCCTGCCCCCTACGGCCCAGCAAATTTAAACTAAGCCCTCCAGCGCTTGGGTATTACCCGTGAAAGTTTTGGGGGCAAAAATTACTATTATGGGAATCAGGAAAGCTAAAGAGCAGAAATTTTAGGGTAATGTCCGCTGTGTATGTGAAAGACCGCAAATTTATATTCCAGCCTTTCCGTTCGCCTGGGGTGACACGTATGGCCCCGTGGAAGTTTTGGCCGGGAAAATTACTATCTCGAGGACAAAAGCTAAGAGGGG